CAGCCACCACTGGAGACAGACTACTGGGCTCGATGAGGCGTTGCTCTGACCCACTGTGGGTCAGAGCATCCTTATAAGTTGTATTTATTGCTCAGACCACCACATAATTACGATTTAAAGCATTTACTCCTGAAAAACCTACAAGTAAGGACCTTGTATGTGCACAAGATTTTGCTAGACTCAGGTCCTATACTTTATTTGGTTAAATAGTACCATGAACGTTTACACAGCTATATAAATACTCACATCCAGTTTGTGCTGTCAGCTGAGCCAAAGTCGAGATTTCAAGTGCCAAGGACTTAGAACATCTCTTTCTAATTTTACCCTGGCTCAAAGTATGTTTAGAAGATGAGGTATAGATAAAATCAGATAAGCAAAATAATTTAGTGTTCTGTCACTTGTGAAATGGTTATTGGTTAAAAATAAGAGGTGAGAAAAATAAGTTAATCTTTACAAGAAATAAAGCCATATCTAATGGCTGGATTAGGAACCTGTGTTTAATAAGTGACAAGAGATGATTACAAACAGTCCACACTGGCTGTTGACAGACATCTGGTTTTTGGTGGTTTGTGCATACTTCACAAAGAGATGGTACCTGCAGAGGTAGCAAATCTCCATGCGTTGTCTTAGCAGTAGCTAATTAGCTGGAAGATGGGTAGAAAAACATGAATGACTAAACTGAGTCCTGGAGCTGTTTGGAGATGTTCCAGCTGACTGGTTTTCTGGTAGGAAATGCTGATTCTTCCAAATGAAAACATTTTGCTGGAATAGGTAGTCTCAACGAGGCTATCATTTGTGCTCCTTCCAGGCTGTTGTCCCACTTTTCCAGGCTCTTCGGCAGTCTGCCAGGCAGATGGTATAGAGGTGAGCTCTTTGCCTCTTCCTCTGCTGGATGCGCAATGCCTCCTGGCTGTTCTGGGCACCAGGCTCACTGAGCTCTTCCACCCTGGGGGCATGCAGCCAGTGACCATATCTGTTTTTACAGCCCTGTCAGCTGACTATGTTGGCTGTCCAAGCCTACTATTCCAGATGATATTTTTTCATATGTTTGAAATATTTCACAGGTTGGATAGTAAGCTGTATCTTGTTTTGGCTCTGAGGTGTACAGGTTCTCCATCAAAGAGATTTATTTCATGCTTTGTAATTTCTGTCTTCGTGTCATGGATGTCAAGAGTTTGCAACATACAAGGCAATAAAAATGTTGAGCTCAGCAAGTCATATTCCAGGAAGAAATGTCAGCCATGAACTTGCCCTTCCTGCAAGTCAAAAAAAGGTATTACCTCAAGGAGAACCAGAGAAGTCACTTATGTTTGTTTATCACAGCATAAGGACTAACTTACCCTGGTGGTGGGAAGTTTGTATTCATCTTTGTCTTTTCTATATGAAAACTACTGTACTAATAAGGAAAGAAGGAAGAAGAAAAATGGGTGAATTGCTAGACAATTAATTCTTGCAAAAGAGAAAAAATATGTTTACAGAACACTGTTTATATTATGGGATGGAACAGCCATTAGTGATTTTAAACATGATCCATTTCAGTCTCTATAACTCCCAGATATTCCCTGGCAGAGGCCGCCTGTCCCTCAGCCCTACCACTTGTGCATCCTTAAAAGGGATATGGAGTGATGCGGTTTCACCTTGCGGCTAAACAGATCAAAGGGTGATTTGCTTCTGCAGGGAGTGGTCTTGCTCTTTCTCCATGTGCTGGATCTAGCCTTCATATGACCTCTGGGTGCAATTCATCTGGCTATTCTGGTGCAGAACTGGTGCTTTTTTCACTTGCCCAGTCACTGTATCTGAGACGAGAGAAATAATGGGAAGAAGGTGCAGGAAAAAGGTATTTTGTGGATCAAATGACTTCTCCTTTTCAATGATAATTCATGAAACAAGAATGAAGCCAGTTTTCAGAAGTGTGTGTTGTAACAGTGAGAAAAACAGGGTTGGATTGAAAGATTGGAGATGGTCCCATGGCACAATGTTTAATCTGCATCTGGAATCATGCCTTTTCTCTTTGTTTTCCTTGGGACTGTAATTTTAAAAAAATAAAAGTCCAGCACAGAAGATAGATGAAGCAAGATATTTAAAAAAACCTTTTTTTTTTCCCTGTGAAACATTTCCTTTTAACCTTGAAGTGATGGACATTGGAGAAACAAGTTATTATTCCTTTCCTTTACAAGGAGAACACACCAGTCTGTCCCTATTTCTGATCAGCAGATTTCACTGATGATCAACACAACATAAAATACAATTATTTTTTTTTTACATTATATGCACTAGCAAAACATATTCGGCACAGTTCAGAGTACTTGTGAGATGGTCAGGTTTTAATCTTCAAATGAAAATATATCTGTGCTTTCCGATTTATTTGTCGTATTTATTGACCTTTTTCAAAGATAACAAACTAGCTCTCAGGAATAAAGCAACACATGAGAAATAGTGTGGCAGGAATCCCAGTGCAGTGCAGCTTATACAGATGTTCAAAGAGAGGTCATCAGCCTTAAGCTAGAGTTAAGGAGAGGGCTCAGTAAAGGCAGGCTGACAGTGCTTTTTAAACAAATGACTGCTGGCCAGCAGAGCTGCGATAGCAGCAGGTGTTGGTGATGACTTATGCTGCATTTTACTTTATAGATAGAGTTGGGGGTAGTGCTAGGGTCTGTAAATATTATTGCAGGACTTTGCATGGCCCAAAATCTTGGATAACAGGGTCCAATAAGATGTGAATGTTTTTGTATATGTATTATATGGGCTGCCTTGATGGTCTGAATACTACAGGCAAGATTGTGGATAGGTTTCAAAAACAGGGGCTTTAACATCACATCTTGCCCATGGCGCAGGGCTTGTGGTTGCAATGAGGCCTGCTGTGGTCAAGTTTCAGTGCCAGTGGCTTAGTTTTAGTACTGGTATATATATTATTATCCACAGGACACAGCAAGTTTGGTTTGGGGTTGTTTGTTAAAAATATAAGCAATCCACTTCTGCAGTGAAGATTGCAGTTCTGAAGTTCTCACATTCCTTTCATCCCTGGGAAGTGACGGGAGAGGCACAAGCTCCAAAAGGCAAGCACATCTTACATTTTGAGAAGGTACTTTGGAGAACATGTTCGCATTATTTTGGTTACATGCATTCCAAAATTAAAAGCAGTTTCACTACAAAAAGATGTTAAAATAATCCAATCTCATCTTGAAAAAGTGGAAAATTAACTTCCCAGTATGATATTTGAAGGGTTGCTTGTATTAAATGATCCTGTCTCCTGCAGTGCAATATCAAAAGAAACAACATTCTTAGGACTAGAGGTAGATTTTAAAAAGCAGAGTAAGGATGGCTGCCAGAGTTCATTTTCCAGCAAAGGTTCCTGCAAGTTTGCTGAGAAAAGGAGCAAGGAATGTTGATCTACCTTCCTTTTCTCAGCAAACATATTCTAAGAATGACCTGAAAAATATTCTGTCTTTAACCTTGCAATGGATGTGCTCTTGCCTCTCCAGGCCCTCTCCAGCAATGACAGAATTGCTGAAACAGGAATAAGATAGAATCATAGAATCATAGAGTTGTTTAGGTTGGAAAAGCCCTTTAAGATCACCAAGTCCAACCTTTAACCTAACAAAGATCAACTCCTTATCTGGATTTCTTTTTTTTACTAGAAACAGATTATTAAAAGAACAACTTGAGACTAAATTTTCTCCCAAATATTTTGTAGAAATGCCAGCTTGATGGGGTGTGTGTGTATGAAAGTCATAAGAATATGCTCAATCTTCTAGCATTTTTGCTTACTAATTTTAAAAAGGAAAGAGGTGCCTCAAAAAGTAAATAATCTCAACAACTATTGGCAGACATTCCCACAAGGAAAGTTTTTAGTGCCTACGAGAATGTAAACAACTCTATATAATTTGGTTTCTACTGACTATATATTTTGGCTTGGCTTTGGTAGTACAAATGGAGTTTTGATTGGTTTGCTGTAAATAGATGTCATGGGGATGCTGAAAATTCAAACCCACATTATTTCTGTCAGGTTACTTTCTTCTTATTGTGTAGGATAGCTAACAACCAAACCTATTTTATTCTATAGCTTTGCTACTTAGAGTTATTACGTATTAGTGCTAAAGGAGCCTAGAAGGACCTTCTAACACGAGCCAGTATCAAGAACCTGGGTCCCCATTCTCAAAAAAGACTTGTGTCTGTTGTCTCGTTTCCAAAACGTTTGTCTTTCATTTCCCTCATAATTGCATAGTACTTTTAGGAAACATTCTGTGTCCTGAATCTCATCTCTTCTCATAACTAGACAGAAGAGGCTTTATAAAGGTCTCTTTCAGTGGGATATTGTTTGAATAACAGCTGTCTCATACGGGAACGATTTTGAAGGCTAAACACATTCTTTAGCTTAGTTTATTTTTTGGATAGTTATTTAAGATGGTAAAATACACTTTTGAGCAAATTCATCGTGTTCACCAGAAGAATTAGATGATCCCACTTAACATCTGTATAGTTTATCTGTAAACAGGGGAAGCAGATGAAGAATTATTAGAAGGCATGGGCTTGTTTTCTTCATGCAACTCTAGGCTCAGTGCCAGAGTGGTCTTCCTACCCAAAACCTAGGAAAGGTATCTTGGACATGAAGTGGCTGTTTTAAGGAAAAAAAATTCTTTGATTTTTGTGTGTGAGCTCAGAAGTTCAGAAGCATCAGGCAGCTAAGGGGAGAAGGAAACATTCTTGGGCTGCATTCAAAATTTCCTTGGTGAACTGGCCACCAAGGAAATTAAATTTAAAAAAAGCAAGAAAAGGGCACAATGGTTTGTAGCAGGAGGTGCTCTTCTGTACTGCAGGAGACCAGGAAGGGTGGACATGGTGGAAAATCTTTGTCTTAATGAGAGTAGATATTCACAGTTTAGCATTGTCTGGGGTGAGAATTGCTTGTATGCCTAATGACAACTAAAAGCATATCAAGTAGCTAGGTGGGCTTTGCCATTTCTGGAAGAAAACCTCCCGGGCATGTCCCCACCACGCTGGGCAGGGCTGGCTGGGGCTCTGCCTGTCTGCATGTGTGCAGACGCGGCTGGCCCCACTCCCTTTTTGTGTGGCGAAAACCTCCCGGGCATGTCCCCACCACGCTGGGCAGGGCTGGCTGGGGCTCTGCCTGTCTGCATGTGTGCAGACGCGGCTGCCTACACTCCTTTCATGTCTGAGGCCATGAAGGTAGTCCCACAGGCCTCCCGGGCCTGGCCCCTCACCACAGCCCACCTTGTGGCCATCCCAGCCCTGATGGCTTGCTTTCCTTGTCAGACAGGGACGGCTGAAGAGGGCAGAGCCCTGCCGCCACACCAGCTCATCCCCTGTGCGCAGGCTGCCAGCCTTGCTGCCCCCATGGCTCCTCCTGCGGGGACTGCTGGGGAAGGCCTGTGTTGGGGGAAGGCCACCAGAGAAGGAAAAATTTGTACCACTACCAATACCCCAGCTTCAGCCATTCTGCAGGCAAGCAACACAGGGAAGGAAAAGAATGTGTGTTTTGGGCAGGAAGAAGTGAATTTATTCCTGCGTGAGAAGCCACAATCAGAGTGCACAGGGTAGGCACAGGTACAGGCCCCTTGCCAGGCCTGCCTGGAGGCAGGCACAGGCAGAGGGGTGCCAGGCCCGCGCTGGAGGGGTGACTCTCCCGCTGAAGTATCTTCAGGGTGGTTGCTTGTATTTGCCAAAATACATTAATGTTACCTTAATACTTGTGGATTGAACATAGAGCCCTAATGTGTGAGCATTGCCATAGAGGTATTGAGCCACTACACGCAATGCTGACTGCAATGAACTTATTCTGGAGAAGCCATCTTATTACAACCATCTACATTTTGTCTAATTGCAGTTATATTGTTCGTGTAGCTGGAAATGTGCTTACTCTTTTAACTTTTAGAGAATGAGTCAGAGGACTTGTTTAACCCATACAATATAACTTTTTTTTCCTGTTTGTGGTTTCCTGTCTTTACCTTACCAATCACAGTGTAAACATTTGACAGACTTCCAGCTAAACTTATCTGATGCAGTTATAGTGCATAAAATAGTACTTTACATTATTGACCCAAATATTTATTTAATCCTCAGTTCATAGGAATGAGGCTGAAAGTCTCTCATAGGAAGACAAAGTTGGGGTTTGAGTGACTTCCTCTAGCGTGAGTGGTAACTTACTACTAGCTTTACTAGCAAACTTGTGACAAAAAAAGAACTACTGCAGCCATGTAAAAGTCTGTGTAAAAGGTGCATGAAATCTAGCTGAAGAACAGGGACTTCATTCTCTGGATGGCTGCAGCAGTGCCTGCCTTCATCCATCTGCCCGCTGCAGGGAGGAGAGCTCAGCTGCCAGTACCTGAGGCCCTGTCAAGATTTGCA